CTCTGCAGGGCATGAGGAGCCCTGCTGGGGTGAAGGCAGGAGGCAGGCTCCAGGGCTCCCCAGGCAGGGAGGGGATGTGTTGGGTGCTGCCAGGTGAGGCACACGGCAGGTTCCAGCGCAGCCTGGCCTTTTCTGTGACTTTCTGCTACTTGTGTTTGGAAGGAGTGTGCATCCTGTCTGTTCCATCAGATAAATGGCTGTATTTTACAGCCATGTGGCTGCTGCATTTTGGTGTGATGTATTTGAGTGGTTTTTGGTTCTTGTTTTACTGAGGACCAAGTCTAAGTGTAGGCAAAGTTGAAAGCTGTCTGAAGCTGCAGTCTTGCTTCCCTCCACACAGATCTTCCCAGCTTTCCTTTCCTCCCTTGTTCTGTCTCTGCCCAGGAAGGAAGTCACCAACCTGCACAGACATTCTCATTCTCAACCTCTCACAGACACTCTCTGTCTGTCTCTCATCTTCCCTCTCCAAAACCCTCACCTATTTTGCATTACTTAGTTTAACAACAGTTTTTGCTTTTCTCTTATTAAACTAGCAGGCTGTTTCTTGGTCAGTGTGGATGGCATCTGATGCTTGTCAGACATGCACTCACTGTTGATTTTGAGTTACTTTAGAATTTCAAGAAAGCCCAAGTTTCTAAAATGTCCTGATAGAGAGCTATGATACCTAATAAGGACTGCATATAATGGTTAAACTCTCTGTAAAGTTTGTTAATGTTTTCACATAGCAGAAGTACGCTTGCTGACCAGTAAGCTTATTTAGGAAGAGCAGCACTTCGTGTTCTTCACTTATGACCCAGTTACAGCTGTGGGTAAATGAGAAGTTGGGATTGCTGACATGCTGTGGTTTTATAGGAATTTTGAGTTTCAACATATTCTACAGTTCAAGGAGAATAATGCTGGAACTTCAAAATAATTTGTGAAAGTAGGAAAATACTCTAAAATGCACCTGCCTTATGCATTTCTATAGGAAGCTTGTACAACATTCTTTAACTGTCCATCCTAGTAGTATTTTTGTTTTTCAATATTTGTTGTTTGGGTGTTTTCTATTTGCTATCTCTTCATTTTTGTCTGGGTATGTGGAGTCCATATGATATTTTGTGTATGGAAACTGAAGGGTTTACTCTTGGCTACTTTTAGAGATTGATTTATTTACAGTTGTTTAAGTCCAGCAAGGTATAGACAGTGAGATACCCTGGGCTCGCTCTTGCTTTCTGCAAGATCTGGTGGCCACCAGCTGGGACCAGGATATGATGAGAAAGCAGGGAAAGTCCATTGCAGTGATACAGCTGAGATTAGGAGATTTAAAGGTGAATTCCTTGATACTTCCCTATTGGACTTCCTCCAGTTCACCCTTACAGTATTTTTATATGCTTTAATTTTAAGACTTGTAATGCACATGTTGCTCTGGGTATTTCCCTTCAATATGTATAGACCACTTCCATTAATTTTAACAAAATCACTAGGAAACAGAGCACCATCTTATAAGAAAAGATGTTGAAACTATGTGGTACATTGGGCCTAAATGGATGGATTTAGGAGCTGGGGCTGCAGGGATGGGGACATTGCCTGGGCTGCCCTTCAGAAGGGTCCCTGAGGGATCATGCCTGTCCCAGAGTGCAGTGAGGGTCACCCAAAGCAAGGGCATCCCTGGGAAGACTGGGACAGGGGAGATGGAACGAAGGGGCAAGGAATAGCCCAAGGACAAGTGAGAAGGAGGAGGAGCAGGCAGAGAAGGTGCTGCAGACACACTCCACGGCTGTCCGTGCTAGAGGCAGGCGCAGGGCTGAGGGTCAGGCATGGCACAAACCAGGAGAGTTGGGCAAGAAAAGGTCTTTGGGTGATGTTCACTCTTGGGAAGCAGGAACAGAGTTCCCCTCAGTGGTTCCTGAACAGTCTCCTTTTTTGCCTCCTCAATTTCTGAAACAGTAACTCAACAGTTTGTTGTTAATTGTAAATTACGGAAAATTATGTGGAATTCCCAGAGCTGAGATTCTTTTGTCCATGATGTACGGACAACAGATTTGAGGGATTCTTTTATCACTTTTGCTGTTGTTTAAATCTTTGGGGTTTGTTTTTACAGCTTTGGTTTTGAACTTTGGAACGTAGAGATAAATATATCCCTTAAAAAAAACAAACAAAGAGCTGAAAGCTGAAATTTTTATGTGATGATGAGACTTTGGAGAGCTGGCTTTAGGAAAAATTCCTAGTGCTGCAGGGGACAGGATAAAATTGCTGGCGTTGGCAGCCCTGCTGTGCAGGCTCTCCTTCCTGCCCCCGGCTCCTGCAGCTTTCCTGGCCTGTCTGTGGCTCCTTCAGAGTTGATTTTTGCGGTGTGATCTGCCCGGAGCAGGAGTTCTGCCCGTGGTGCACTTGTCATGCACCACATACACATTGCTGTAGGAGTAGCCAAACGCAGAATGTCCAGCTTTGCGATACAGCGGTTCGTAGCCAAAAAATCTTTTATGGCCAAAAAATCTTTTATGGCCAAAAAAGCTGTGCGTTTTTGTGCTCCCCCTGCTGGATGTGGAGGAGCAGGAAGCGCTCCCGGCTGGAGCGCTGCTGGTTCCCCTCCTGGCCCGGCTGCCTGGCCAGGCACGGGCGGCTGCTTGCGGATGGGGCTCGGTGCTTCCCGAGTCCGCTCCTGCAGCGGCGGAACCGGCCGTGCCCCGGCTGTGGATGTGGGAAAGGCTGGCAATTGTGCAGCACCGAGTTACTGTGCCACAGCCGGGCTTAGCACACACCTGGACAGGGTGGCTGAGGCAAGCCAGGTGTAAGAGCTTTCCAGCTGGCACTTCTTCTCTACCATCTAGTCTCATTCTCAGGTGTAGCCCGCTAAACCCTGGACCTTGCCAGTGAGACTGTTTTGGGATCTTTCTAGAAACAGGATAAGAGAAGGGACCAGGCTTTAAGAAGCTAATTTTATTTTTAGAAGCTGATTGCTGTTCCCAGCAGGACCCTGTGAAGTGTGTTGGCAGAGCTGGGGCTGGCGTGGGGGCACAGAACAGGCTGGAGTGGAGGCGGGGGGGACATTGTACAACCCCTGAGCAGGCTGTGCAGGGAAACCAGGGAGCAGATGCTGGTGGGGACAGTGCCAGTGTCCTTAGAACCAGCTTGGACCTGGTTTATGAAAGGGGTGGGTGGTCAGTACTGTGAATTCACAGAAATGTTAATGGCTAGCCCTTTCATTTTAAGAGGTGCTTTATAAAACAAAGTAGGAATTGTGGTGCTGGTTTTACAGATGGGCAGAATAGAGCAGGGGAGAAAAGCCTTGGGTTTGTGTTGTGCAGCAGTGCAGTTCAAGCTGCCTTAAACAGGCTCTGTTTCTACCCTCTGCCATGATGGCTGATCACTCCTGTCTTGGCCCTGCTCCCTGTGTTGTGCTGGCAGAGCTGTTTGAGACAACATGCTGAAGGAAATTAGTTGCCCCATTCCAGCTAACCATGCAGCTGCACAAATGCAGTGTTGAAAGTAAGAGTCCAGGAGGGAGGAGTGAGAGGCAAAATTCAAGTGTCCCGGTAAATGCTGTAGCCTGATCTGACAAAAGTCCAATCCAGTTACACCTGGAATGGTACCCAGATCTTAGGGCAGGCAGAAAAAAAAGCTTTTCCTTTGGAGAAACAAACTAAAATAACTAATTACAACTTCATTAAAGCCTGGTCTGCATTGGCTGAGCAAGTCATGTTAACAAATACTAAATTTTAATCAATTAAAGTGTTGTTCCTACCTTGCATAAGCAGAAGAAAAGCACTGGAGAAAACTTCTGGAAGAGAATAAACGTGTTCTGGGCAAAAACATTCACAGTTGAATGTGGCCTTAAAGTCAAACACTCACCCATGGTGCTTGTCAATATGTAATTTCTCTAAAACTGCCTTTTGTGAGACAAGAAAACCAGCAGTGTCCCTGTATGAAGCAGACAGTCCCGTGGTGGCACTGGGTGTGTTGGGGTGGGATGACTGTTTCTAAGAAGGTTTTCAGTCATGTTTTTATTCTTGGTGAATTACCAGTGAAAAGGATAAATATGGCTGCAGAACAAACACTGAATGCAACTAACAAGTTATTTGTAATAACTTGAGGCTTTTCTAAAAGTCATCTGTCACTTCTGCGTAATTTGAGTTTTTATGAAAGTGTCTGCTCTCACAGCTGGTAGTTGGGGAGGAACCTGGAGTGGTTGCAAATTGTGTGGGGTTTGCTGTGTTGTTTTTTGCTTGGGTTTTTTGTTGTTGTTTTCTAATAGTATGTGCTTTTTCATGTTTAATGGGATTTTTTTTTTGCACAGAAGTTATTTGGAAGTCAGTCAAAAGAGAGGCAAAATGTAGTCACTGTGTTCCTTTTCTCAATATTTGCTGAGTTTTGGAGCTTGGTAGTATAATGCTGTAAGGACACCTTGTCTGCCTGCTGAAACAGCATGTAACAAAATACAGACTACCCGTAAACATTCCCCCGTCTCCCTTTGCAATCTTTCTTTATAATTAAAAAAACATTTCCTAGAAGTTGCAGTGCTGTGCCAGTGTAATCCATAAACTTGTTTTGTTTTGCTGCAGAGAGGATGGTGGTTCTGAGGTATTTTGGTGTATTTTTTTAAGTAGTGTTTGGAGGTTGGTTTATCTTTTTTAATGGCACTTTGCTCACAGTAGTCAGTGAGTACCCTTTATAAAGAGAATAAAAGAGACTTCAGCATGACCTTTAACTGAGAAAAAATTACCATTTGGCTCTGGAAATTTTGTTATAAACCTCAACAGAATTCTCATTATCTTTTCCTTATTTCATTGTTACAGGCATGAAAACCTGTAATACTTAAACTGCTGAGTGAGTCTCAGAAGCTTGGGGGTGGCAAAAGCTTGACTAGAACCCCAACACAGCCTCAGATCTGGTCCTCCTGGCTTGGTTGTTGAACTCCTAAATGCTCTTTATTAATTTCAGGTCTTTTCACTGAGCTGATTCAAATGCTGCTGTGTTCTGCAGGAGAATGGAAGCATGATGTGTCTGTATTTTTATTGCAGGAAAATGGATCTTGTTATGTGAGGGCGTTGAGGAAACAGTCCCCAGCTACTGAGAGGAAGAAAGGCCGGTGGGAAATACTCAGGTAGGAAAGCTGTGTATGTCATCCAGCAGTAAAAACACTTGTGGGCCTTCGTTCCTTTTCCAGACACTGTGTCGTGTTTGATGCTTGAATGGCTGATCTGGTCACTATCATAGTTTATTTGTTGTTTTAAGAAGCAGCCCTGTTTGGTCAATTGATTGCAACAACAAAACACTGCAAGCAAAGCCCTCAGCATAAACATTCCTCAGGCTATCCCTGGTACAGTATTGATCCTGATACAGAATACAAACAAATTACTCTGTGTGTGCGCCATTCCAGCTATAAAACAGAGCAATAATATGTTCTACTTGCTGCCAATAAATGTGCATTTATAATAAACTAAGCAGAAATCCCTGAGTAGAAGTGAGCAGTAGTTTCAATAATATGTTCAATATCTTATGTCTAGCTGTTGTACAGAATTTTTTAAAAAGCACAGAGTGGGCACTCCAGGGTATCTGTTTCCTTCTTCACTTGAGAAAAATAATCTTTGCAGACTTATTCTGTTGCTGCTTTTCCTTTGCTTGTGGGGTTTTTTAAAGATATTTTTAAGTAGTTTATAAAGCCATAGGTAAGCTCATCTCTGCATTATTTTCAGTGTAGTTCAGTGCTTCTCTAGAATTTGGCCTACATCATCATTTTCTTGTGGACCAGCTGCCTCTCCTTACGCTGCACTGCTGTGTGACTCTTCTCCATTTTTGATCCTTGTCATATCCCAGTGGGATTTCCATATGTTGGGAAATAGCAGTAAAGTCACTTCTGTGCATCTGTAGTTGTTTTGAATGCACCTGAAATTAGGGGGGGAGTCAGTGCCCTGTGACCATCACCACTGGGGGTACATAACTGAACCCATTTCCAAACAGAAAAAATGTTACTCATCATCAGAACACAGTTTTGTTGGTTTTTTTTAAAATCTGCTTTACCATGCTCATATAATCCACCATCCATATTTTCAGTGCTGCACTTTGATGAGTTACAGACAGTTGACCTCAAGGCATTTCTTGATGAACATTTCTATCTGCTCTCAGCCTTGAAAAACTCAACCTTTTCAAGAGCTGTATGGGAGAAAAATGTGTAAGACTAATATTTATAGGCTGAAAAAGAAAGGAGAGGAAAGACTAAAGTGTAAAACTTGCTTCCAGCAGAAATGCCATCCCTCTTTTACCTCTGGTAATTAGAAGCATTTCTGACATGGTTACAAAGCAAGTTAATGGTGAGTGCCTGCCATTTGCTGTGCATTTCGACTGCAGGACTGTTTCCCTTCCCCAAGCTTTCTTCTATGTTGTTTTCAGACAACCACAAAATTCTGATACTCACCTATTACATTATGATTCATCAATAATCCTACATTTCAGTTACTTCCAAGTATGTACATGTCATTGTTTGTAAAAATGTAAGGTTGTGATTCAGGTTCAGATTTTGAGTATTTTTTAAATCATGTTTAGCGAAGCTTATTTGCATAAATCCTTTCATTAGTAGTGCTAGCTGAAATAATCCTGAAAGACAAGAAGGGGGAGAGGTTTTAAGTGCCATAATTTTTGCAGGAAAAGATCATGGCTGTGTTAAGAAATACAGCAGTACTGATTTTAACTTTAATAGAAGATTTAGAGAACAAGTAGTTACAAGTAATTTTACTTAAAAGATTACAAGTAGTTTTTAGAGGTGACTTAAATGGTATACTGTATTTAATGGTCCCTGAATATGGTCTAATGGTATAAGATGCTCATCTTGGATAATACCAGTAATATGTGCAGGCAAAGAAGTGCAGCAAATAAATGACAAAACACAACACCAAACCCCACCACATCAAGAAACACTCTGTTTTTAAAACTGTACTTTTGAAAATTTCCTGGAGATTTCCCTGGACTTGGGCCCTTGTTTTCAAAAATAAAATAAAGATCACTTTTCTTTACCATAAGGGAACTTGGGAGAGAAGTTCCTTGCTGTGCCTTGGGGTCATGTGACCTCGCTGCTGTAGGGCTGGAATGTTTGCCATGGTATTTCCGGAGGCTTCATAAACACACAGAAAAAACACTGGGGGTTAGGAGGATTTCAAAAAAATTGTTGCATTTCCCCCCACCTCCCCCAACCCCTTTTTTTTCTGACAGCCTAAATTCTTTGCGCTTGAAATGCGGGGTTCTTTTAGGAATTCGGGAATTTATTTGATTAGTCCTGTGAATTTTAAGAACTAAGTTAAAATATTTGATAATTTTTTAATTGCTGAACTTGTCTAGAATGATTTCTTACCAGATGTAATACCTGGCAACCTACATATTAAGCCTGGCTCTTATTTAGATGGTCTTAATGGTTTACTTTTGGCATGTGTCACTGTGAGTGGCATTCAGTAATCTGATTTGATAGCTGTCATCTTGCAAGGCAGAGTAATGCAAACAAAAGATGAGCACTCAGACAAGGTTACAGTGAAGAGCCATTTCCTAAGTCCTGCTGTGGTGGCGTAGAATCCCCAAGTCAAATCAGAAAAGCACAGAATTAGTTCTGGCTCCTGGGATGTGAGGGATAAGATTATGCAAACCTCTTCCGTCTAACCGTAGGAATAGTACGTGCTCCTTCTCAGACTTTGCAAACACCAGCTTAAACTGGGATTATGAGGACTTCTGTGTGTCTGTAATGCCATGCATATGTGATGTCTTAGTGGCAAGGTGGACTGAAGGGGCTCTGCAGTCCCTCTTACAGCCTGGACTGGCAGAGCTGCAGCTTGTCCTCCTCCCTTCCCCTTCTTGCCAAGCTGCCTGTTGAACAAGAGCAGAGAATGTATCTGTTTTAAAAAAAACCTGGCAAAAATGGGGAGGGAGAGGGAGGATGAATGGACTATTTTTAACTTCACCAAGTCCTTCTGTGCAGCACCATGAAGCTGTCCCAGGAGGGGTGGGGTGAAGGCAGCGCAACAGGAGCTGGTAACAAGTGGCCAGAGATAGGAACTGCTTGTTCCAGATTGCCTTTGTGAAAAATCCCCCAGCAATGAGCCTGTGTATTCCATGAGGCTGCTCAGACTGTGGTCAGTGGGAGGTGTATAACCCTATCAAGAGAGGCTTGTTGCTGAATCAGACTATTTATTGCATCAGAAGTTACAGAAAGGCAACATAGTTTGTCTTTTGAGTTTCCCTTTTAAGTATGAAGCAGTGGAATTGGTTTTTTCCCAACTTCAGGCCCCAAACTGGCACTCTGAGGAGGAGCAGAGGTGGATCTGGAATTGAACAAGGGCTTGAATTCTGCACTTTGAAAGGGCTTCTTCACTCCTTTGTCCTGTCCCCTACTGAACTTTCTGTATTCTCTCTTTAAGTGTGACTAATTCTTGAATTATATTCTCTTAGTGTTGAAATGTCTAGAATCATTTACATTAATAAAGTACATCTTACATTTTGTTTCCCTAAGTTTTGTGATGTCTGATTGCTACAGATTGTCACACTGTCTGACTCCTGCTCTACTGGTCTCTAGCTAGAGCAGTTGAATGAGAAGGGAATAGGATAAAGTTAAGAAGTTGTTCAGAAACTCTTGTACTGTGATTTGTAGGGAAGAACAGAGTTTAAAATATTGGCTTAAATATAAATGCTCTTGAATATATAAGCCATCTTTTTTAAAAGTAAGCCATGACTCCAAAGGCAAGCTGTGTTTTAATTTGAGTTTATCTGCTTATATATGTGTTGGTTTTTTTTTTTCCCAGGTGGACACATAAAAATATGTATAGCTGAGTGAAATGTTGCTAACTTCTTGCTTAAGTTGTCTTCAGTATTGTACTTTTTAGTAAAATGCTGTAGCACCCCAAGTTTCAGGTGAAAAGTTCCAAAGTTCTGTCTTGTTCTTCAGGATATTTCACTGGTTTGTCACTTTGCCTGTATGAGACAGTGCAAAGATTTTTTGTTATTTTGTAATGATACTATGTATATCCAAATAATATTGTTCATGCCCTTTGGCTTTGCCCCTTCCCATCTAAGGATTCCCAAGCCTTCCTAAGGAAACTTGTGTTTAGGAGACCAATGGGTGTCATGGTTGAAACTTGTTCTCAAATCTCTGTGTTCCTAATGGCCTTTGACAGCATTTGGGAAAGATGTCACTTCAACACAGTGGAAAGCAACCAAAGTAAATTATATTTTTAATGAAGGATTTTCTATCTGGATGAATTGATACTGGCAGGACAGTATTAGTTAAAAATAGAAGAACCTTCTGCAGACACATTGCATTCTCTCCTGGTTTTACTTTGTCTAAACAAAAAGCAATGTACACATAGTGAGTGTAGACAGATTTGAGTCTGAGGTACTTCCTTTGCAGATGGCTTCTGATTCTTTTCCTATTTTATTTTTTTTTAAATAAGTATTGCTTTAAAGGGAGACCAAATCAGCATTTAAGGATTCTGTTTATCATGTCACTGCATGGGAGATTGCTGTATTCTGTACCAGACCTACTTTATGGTGGTATGTACCAGATTCTTATGGCCTTATAAAGGATGCTAACTTGCATTCCTCTCTGCAAAGAAGTACTTCCAAAAGAAATAACAAGCAGATTGAGTATTTATTTTTGTTCAATACAAAAGTATTCAGAGTTAACTGGCAAATATTTTACTTCTCTACCCTCCCTTTTCCCATAATTGTGTTTATCTCCTCGCCGTTTTCTTCTATTAGAAGTGTGTTCTTCTAGGGTATTTTAGTTCAGCTGATTTATAAGCCAAGATTTTATCTTTTCACTGGAAGTATGTGTAAGTAAAGGGACTGAATGGTTATTTGACTTTTATATGCTGTACATATGTATACTGTATATTTTAGATATATTAGATGTGTGTGTAAATTGAGATCTTGTTTCAGAACAGTTGTCACTCTCTGAACAATGGTTGATGATTATATATGTATTTTTAAATTACTGAAAAATCTAAATAAGGCTAAATTAACCTGCAGTAATCATACTGTTGTCTTATTTCTAAGTGTTTCATACCGAATAGTATTTAAATACATTTCTCAATTTCACCTTCTTGAAGTTAGTAAGTTCAAGGTATG